GACTTGTCCTCGCAGGATATGAAGAAGGTCCCTCCTTTGGCCCTCATAGAGCGACGGCGCGCTCTGTTGACATCCTTGGCCTGGACTTGAAGCGGAGCCAAGGCGGGAAGTGGAACCCCAGGTCAGCCCTGCGCAGGAACCTTGGGGATGCTGGTGCGCTGCCACCCACACACGCTCAGTTTCTACAGGAGGTCTGCCGGCTATAGGTTTTCCACACACTACACCAATTCGCAGGTGCAGTGGCTCAATCCTAGCTACTAAGGAGGTGTAGATGGGGAGGACTGCAGTTCAAGGCCAACCCAGGCAAAAAGTTAGTGGGACTCCATCTTACCCAATGGCTGGGCACTGTGGAATACACCGGTCATCCCAGGTACATGGGAAGCACAAATAGGAGGATCACAGTCCAGGCAAGCCCTGGTAAAGAGAGACCCTATCCTAAAAATAACCAATGTAAAAAGGGCTGAGGTGTGGCTGGCCTGGAACTCACAATCTTCCTGCCCTTACCTCCTGAGTGCTGGGATTACAGATGTGCACACCCACACTGGCTTTTATTAAGTTCTTAATATATAGTTCTTCAATAGTGTATGGAAATGCTCACCTCACTGCATCATTACCAGCATGATGCACTGTTGCTTTTTTGTTGATTTCTTCAAGAACAGGATGGTGGATGAGGAAGACCAGAGAGGGGTCTGGCAGAGGGGAGTAGGCTGGTGAAGGCAGAAGGAAGGAAATTGTAAAGAAAACATGGAAGGAGGTCTCAAGCCAGGATGGTTGAGAAGACCTGGGGAATGCATTTCTTAGGACCTGGGTCCATCCCTGCAAAGCTAGACCCTCTGCCCTAGACTGCTGTCCCTTGTTGTCCCCAGTGCTCCTTGGAGCCACAGCACATTTCCTTTCAAGCCCTCGGTATCCAGCTGAGATTGTCTGCTCTATGACACACCTGAGGGCTCCTCATTGCCAAGGCTAGGTGCTCCACCTGGTATGGAGAACTTCAGGCTCAACCATTCTCTCGAGAGCTCAGTTCTTCCTCGGGGGAGGTGTCTGATTGTAGTCACCCACCCATCTTGTGAGCTGGAGCCCAGTGGTCACTGCAGGCCGCAAGCTGCGTCTCCCACTCTTGTGACTTCCCGCAGACACTTGCCTTTTGGTGTGCCCCTTGACAGCCTGCTGGAAGTTGACCACAAAGTCCTCCCCAGCATCCAGATCCCACTGCTCCTGCAAGCCGTAAGTTGCCCCCAGTTTGAAATCTCCATGAGTCTCCCTATCCTTTAGAGTTACAATAACTGTATCCTCCTTTTACTGATGATGAGATGAGAGAAAGTAACATAAAGCCTTCACCACAGTGCCCGGCTCATGGATGGGGTCAAAAATGCCCTTTTGGTTGAGGATGTAGCTCAGTGGTGGAGGGCTTGCCTGGCATATGCAAGACTCTGAGTTCATCCCCAACACAGTGAAAAAAAGAAGGAAATAATTAAAAAAAAAAAAAAAGCAAGGCTCTCATTAGGAGGAAAACCTTCTCACCCTCTCTTCTTCCTGGTGTGCATGGGAGGCAAACACAGCCGTTAGACTCTCTCTTCTCAGTGGTGGCTGGTTTAAATGTTGCTTTCTTCCTTGACAGCTGCTGGCCTGTTTGGAGAAGAGAGGGCTGGATGCAAAAGGCATTCTCAGGGTGCCTGGGTCCCAGGCCAGGGTCAAGGTAACGTCTGGCTCCCCCACCGCATCTTGGTTACTATGTTAACTGGGAAAAGATCCAGGTCCTGGTTATCTGTCCTGGTTGACTTGGTCTCTGTGGGCCGTGGGATTCTAAGAGGACTGGAAAGAGAAGAGGTAACCCAATCGAGCCGGGAGTTAAGAGCACCAGCCGTGGGTCACACTGCCAACACCTACTAAGTGGACGCTGTGCTCAGCGGTTTCACAGTAGGCCTCTAACCCCCATAGCAACTATGGCAGGGAAGGGCTGTCATTGCCCCACTGTGCAAATGAGGGCAGTTGAGGCCCACGACAGGTGGAAGAACAGCTGAAACTGGAGCATTGGGCCAACTTGTCCCTAATGCCCTCTTCCTTTAGGGGCTGGAACAAAAGCTGGAGAGAGACTTCTATGCTGGCCTTTTCAGCTGGGATGGGGTTCACCCCAATGATGCCTCCGATTTGCTCAAAAGATTCCTGCGGAAGCTGCCAGTGCCTCTGCTCACTGCCGAGTATCTCCCAGCCTTTGCTGCTGTGCCCAGTGCGTGGTGCCAGCCCTTTGCCCGGGGTGGGGGGTCATGCCCTGGTCTTGGTTATAGATTTAGTGGTGGGAAGGCAGAACACCTGTTTCCAGGAATTCTGTTTCCTCAGATCTCTAACTGATGGGGCAGGAAGTGTGCGCTTGCACATGCATGTGTGAGCCTGTGTGAGCATGTGTGTGTTGTGTATCAATGTGCATGTCTTCCTGTATTTGTCATCACTCACACGGGTGTGCAGTGTGGCAAGGAGCCACAGTCCCCACCAGTCTTCATGGGGACCCACACTCCTCCAAATCATGGAGTTGAACTTATCAGGTGTCTAACTGTGTGTCTATGGCACACAGTGTGCATGTCCATCTGTCCGTACGCACGCCTACAGGTTGGCATGTGTCACAAGAACCCGTCTCTCTCTATTCTGCATTGATTTATGTTCCTCTCTGGACTTCTTTATAATCCCCAGCATGCAACAGTCACTTGTATTTTTCTCCAAAGAATAATGCACCTGCAAACTTGAGGGAAACCTGGTGTCTCTCTCTCTCTCTCTCTCTCTCTCTCTCCTCTCTCTCTCTCTCTCATCAAAAGCTTTAGGGCTCCTGCCACCAGAACTCCACCCCTCCATAGTGGGACCCTAACAGTCCTCTCTAGCTTTTGCGTCTCACAACCTCGTTTTTCACCTAAACATACATCAGATCACATGCTGCTTCCTGCTCACCCAACACACTTGGAAAGAGACTCCCTCTTCCTTCCCAGCCTACCAGGCCCTGCCTGTCTCTGACCGCCTCCTCCTGAGCCCCTCCCTCCCACAGCCCGGCCACCCCTTTGCTGTTCCTCTTCAGGCCCCTGCGCCTGCGCTCTCTGCCTGGAAGGTACTCCCTTCCCGCCGTCCTCTGCCTCCTGCTATTCTGACGTCATGTCAATGTCAGCACCTCAAGCAGCCCTGACCTGCCCTGCCACAAGCCCACCCGGCCTCTGTAATGACATAATGACAGATGCAACGGTGCCTGTGTTACCCTGCTTTCCTCTCTCTAAGCAGGAACCCTGGCTGGAAATACTCGGATGTGTCTTTGCTTGTTTGTTGTCTGGTTTTCCCCACGATGTGCGCTCCACTGCCTTATGACTTTGCTTCGTTTGTAACTGGGTCCTAGGTCCTGGACCAGAGCCTGGTGGGACACCTGATAGGAACCTGATGAGTATTTTCTGAGCAGCAAGTGAATGAAGGCCATGCAGTCCCCTCTGTCCCCTCTGCAGGACGGGTCTGGTCTGGCCCTGCAGTTCTTTCTTTGAGTTCTGCAACTACAACCCCTCTCCTCCCCAGAGACCCCCACTCACTCCAGGTGTGGGTCAGGTTTTCCTTTCCAACCCTCCAATCGCAAAGGATTTTCTTAAACCTTCCACCAGGACAGGTGAGCTCGGCATTCTCCCTCCCAGGGACGACTTGCTTCAGTTCTCACGCTGCACATCGGGGTGTGTGTAGATGTGAGGGTGCTGTGCATGCACGCATGCGTGAGTGTGTTTGCTTTTTAGTCACAAAGGATGACAGCCCCTAAACCAGCCCTGGTGGGGGCTCTGTCTGAGAGGGAGGGATTGACCTGAGACCCTCTCTCTTCCAGACCTCCCTGACCTGAAACAGCGCCTGCAGGCTCTTCACCTGCTCATTCTCCTCCTCCCGGAGCCCAACCGAAACACCTTAAAGGTAAGGTTGCCTCCATTCTCTCACCTCAGCCACAACCACAGTAATGACTCCAAATGTGCTGGTTTAGTTACTCATTCAACAACCATGCCAGGTGTTTTTTTGTGCGTGTGTGTGTGTGTGGTGAGGTGGTCATCAGTGTAGGTCTTTCCAGATTTTTTTCCTAAAAAAGCAAAGAGGTCCTGCAAGGGAAAGAGCCTCTGGAGTGGTCTGCACAGAATAGCAGCTCTGTGTGGTGCTAACAGGTGTTGCAGGGAAAGTGCTCTGTGTGCCAGGGAGACACAGAAGCTGTGGAATGAGGCCCAGGATAACTCTTTCCTGTGGGCTTCTTGGAGCTGTCCATACATGGAGGCCTGGAGAATCTCCCAGGGGGCCTGTGGCACCTTCCAAACTCAGTTGAGCTCATACCCTTTTGTTGTGTGAGGCGTTGCATGGCCCTGGGATTCTGTGGGGAGCTGGATTAGGAAACAGTCCCCTAAGGGCTTCCCACTGTGTCTTCTGGGAGTGGGTGACTGGGGGTAGGGGCTGGGAAACAGCCTTGGCTTAGCTCCCTGTGCCCACGATCCTGGCCGTCCTTGGGTCAGACTCAAAATGTGCCTGCAAGGGTGAGCATTTGAGGAGGCCTGGGCACCAGAGAGCACCAGTTCCAAGTGGAGTTTTTGGGAGGGGGGGTTGTTGGTGTTGGGGGTGGTTTTGTTTGCTTCTTTGTTCTTGTTTTCTAGTACTGTAGATGGAACGAGTCAAGGGCTCTGCCACTTGCACCATTCACCACACCACCAGACCTCTTTTTTTGTTTGTTTCTGAGATAAGGTCTCACTATCTTTGCTTGAGCTAGCCTCAAACTACAATCCTCCTAATTCTGCCTCCTGCGTAGTTGGCTCATGCCACCACTCACAGCTCCACACTTCCTTTTCAGTAACTAAGGATAAAGAAGCTTCCTGAATGATTGTTTTGGGAGCTGCAAAAGCTAACACATGAGAAATTATGGAGTAGAAGATGAAGTTCTTTATGGGTGCTCAATATATGCCTGGCCTCCCTCCCTCCCTCCCTCCCTCCATCCCTCCATCCCTCCCTCCTTATCTTCCTTCCTTCCTATCCACCATTCTTCCTCCCTCCCTCCTCCATCCATCTTCCCATCCTTCCATCTCTCTGTCCCTCTGTTCATCCTTACTGGCCATGTGGTCCTCGGCACATTCTCCAAGCCAGTGTCCTTCTCTGTAAAACAGGCACAGTAGTCAAATCTGCCTTAAGAGCTGCTGTGAGGACTCAGTGAGATGGTAACCAAGTATAGCAAATGGTGTAACTGCAGGGCAGGAATACAAGGCATAACAGTAGCTGTCATCCTATACCCTTCCTCCCAGCATCTCTGCTTCCCTCCTCTTTCCTTTGTATTTTGGTTTGGTCCAGACTCCAGAAAGAAGGAGCTGTCCTGGGGCTCACCAAGAAAAGGCCCCCTTTCCAGACCTGTGGCTCTTTTTGACTAGAAGTTGCCACCTGACCCTGATGTCTTTTAATCTCAGAGAACACAGGAAGGGAGAGAGTTTGGGTCACATTTTGCAGAGCAGGAAACTGGGACACAGAGAGGTCACCTAGTGGGCTTGTGGCAAAGCTGGAACTGAGACTCTCCCCTTGCCCTCCAACCCCTGGTTCCTTTCTAGTGCCTACGTGATCCGTGAGGATGTTCTGGGAAGGTGGGGGGCACCAGGGATGTGCTGGGCTTTAAGGCAAGTTCTGTTTTCTTCCCTAGGCACTCCTGGAATTCCTCAGGAAGGTGGTGGCCCAGGAACAGCACAACAAGATGACTCTTTGGAACGTTTCCATGGTGATGGCCCCTAATCTCTTCCTGCACCAAGGGCATCCCCCCAAGCTCCATAAGGGTGAAAAGCAGCTGGCAGAGGGTGCAGCTGAGGTGCTGTGCATAATGGTACACTACCAGGACCTGCTCTGGACGGTGAGTGCTGGGCCACATAGAGAGGAGGGCTGGTGTTCATCCAGCAGAGGGATGGTCTGCCCCCTCTGGCTGCAGCTGCTGGCACCCTTCTATCCATCCACTCATCCACCAATCTTTACCCGCCCATTCACCCACCCAGACCCCTACTATCCATTCATCCACCAACCCATCCATCCACCATCCATCCATCCACTCCACCTGTCCACACACCTATCCACCATCCATCCATCATCCATCCATTACCCTACTCATTCACTCACTCATCCACCCACCCATCCATCATCCACCCACTCACTCATCCATCTAAATACCCACCCATTCACCCACCCACCCACTCACCTACCTATCCATCTTTCCTTCTTCCTCTCTGCAACCATAAGGTCATTAGGTTAGATCTCTTATTCCAGACACCAGCAAATGAAGGCCTGGCTGAGTGGTTCCCAGTTCCTCCCACCCCACCAGGCACTCGTCTGTGTTCTAAACAAACCAAAGGCCAGCTGGTTCTTCAGGTGCTTCACACTGCTGAGTTCTCACTCACGGGCTTCACTCTGATTGCAATTCCCCTTTCTCTTTTTGAAAATCAGAGCCAGTGCCCTCTGCTCATTCTTTCAGACCTGGTTTAGACATCAGCTTCTCTGTTGAAAGCCTCCTACTCCTCTCCCCTCTTCCCCTTACACTCCCACAACTTTTTTGCACTTGGCCCTCTGAAGTAATGCTGTGACTAAAAAACAGTGGATTTATAATTTTTTATTGTAAGGAATTTTTAATTAAAAATTTCCTAAATTCCACCTTTATTTTTTTTTTATAAAAGCTTCAGACAGCAGAGATGTCTGAAGACAGACAGTAAGATGGAGATGTTCCCATTGCCTTCCCTACCCACATGTGTCATCTTGCTTATGACACCTACAAACACACATATGATCTCATAGTTCTGTCAGACCCAGGTAACAGCTGATTGTCTCCAGGGTCCTGGAGTCTGGAGTCTCTGTCTGTCTGCAGGGTTCTGACTGCACAGAGAATGGACTGACCTGCAGGTCTCAGCATTTCCCCATGGTCTCAGAGCAGGAGGCAACTCTGTGTGCTTAGGGACACCCCTGCCTGGTGTGCCAAACAGAAGCTGTTGCACAGCAAGTGTAGGACTTCCGGAGCCTCAGGGTGGGCTCCACTCCCAGAATTTCCTACTCCAAGGCCCTCTTTGGGGGCTAAATGCACCCCCTTCTTCCCACAAACTAGTCCAAGTTCAGCAAATTAACTATTTTCAAGCTTTGTATGGGAGGATCCAAGGACAAGGAAAGGCCACAGTGACCCTGAAAGGGGCCCTGCCTCTCACCCTCAACAGCCCCAACCCCCAGCTAAGACAAAATTCTTTCTGCTTAGGTGGCCTCTTTCTTGGTGGCCCAGGTGCGAAAACTGAATGACAGTAGCAGCCGGCGCCCCCAGCCCTGCGATGGAGGCCTCGAGACTTGGCTTCGGAGGACACACGTGGATAGGGACAAGACGAGGGACCTCCTTGAGGCGGTGAGTACCTCTCATTCCCGGCGGATAAAGACTGGGAGGGACCCTATGGCCGCACGAGGCACAACCCACCCTCCAGGTTCTCACCACCAGGCTGCCGTAAATGACCGCTTGTGGCCACCAGGGGGCGCACCGGCCCCGTCTCAGCGAGCGAGGAGGTGGCGTCTCAGCAATGAGATGACTTGGGGCTGAGGCGGGGATGCTCCTGGAAGCCATCTGTCCCTTTTTAGGCAGTCCCTTGTGTGCCTGGGAGAGGGTTAGGAAAATAGGGGCTGCTTTTGGGGCTGTGTGGGCAGGTGGAGAAGGGAAGGACCTTCTAAGAACGCTGGGAGGAGTCTGCGTGTGCACTGCGCATGTGTGTGCGGTGTTGCGCTTGCACAAACTTGCGTATGTGCGTTTGTAGGTGCGATGCATGTATGCCTGTGTGTGTATGATAGAGTCGTTTTCATGCCTGTGTTGTGTGTGCACACATCTGGGATTGGGCACGTTTGATAGCTGTGTGTATAAACATTGGGTGACTTTTTTAGCATGAGTACTGGTGCGAGGCACGTGTGTGCGTGTTTATGCGCACATACTGAATTCCAGGCTTGCACTAAGTGCCTGTGTACCTTTTTTCCTCTCTCTCTCTCTCCCCCTCCCCTTCCCCCTCCCCCTCTCTCCAGACTCCCAAAGTAGCAAAGATCCAGGCGGCCTGGCCTAGCAAGAACCCGTTCCAAGTGCCTCTGACCCCCAGCACCCAAGTGGCCCATGTCCTGAAGCAGTTTTCCGAGGACATCAGCCCTGGGTCACAGAATGAAGAGGGCTGTGAGGACCAGGACAGCCTCCTCCCAGAGTAAGGGGTACCTTCCTGAGGTGGGAGCCATCCCTGCAGGGAGCAGGAAGCCAGATGGAGGTGTCAGTACCTCATAGCTGAAGGCCAGGGAGTGACACATGTCCTTGGCCTACCCTCTTAGCCTTTTCCTTCCTGTGGTGGTCACAGTGGGTTTTCTCCAGCCTTTTTAGAAGCTTCTTGGATCAAAATAATAATGACAGTGAATCCATCCCTTCATTTGTAGTAGGTATTTAAGCAAATGCCTATTGTAGGTCTGCCCATCCATCCATTCACCTGTCCATCCTTCTTGTTCCTCCTCCCATCATAAATGCATTCCAGATGCTAGAATAGCAAGGGAAAGAACCCACAGAGGCTCTGGCCTTACAAGTTCATAGCTATGTGGAAAAGATAGACATAAATCAAATAGCCACAATAAATATCAAGTTAAAAACTGTATTAGATTTTATAAGAAATATAGGAAACAATGTGAATGTACACTAAGTTACTTGGTATAGTGTGGGGAGTGAGGTAAGGCTTCCAAGCACAGAAAACTGCAAGTGCAAAGGTCCTGCGGTAGCAAGGCACATGCTGAAAGAAAGTCAACGGGGCTGATGGAGGGCCATCATTCCCAGATTCAAGGAGCAGCCTGGGCCCTCGGGAACCCTCTTTGTGGGGTTGGCACAGACTTTCAGACCACCAGCTTTTAGCAAGTGGGTCCAGTCCCTTCTTTTACAGATAGAAAAACTAAGGCCCAGGGAGGGGAAAGAGTTTTTGTCCAGAGCCATAAAACAGATCAAGGATAGACCCTGGAACTGAACTCAGGATCCCCGTGATTACCATCCAATAATTATACGATACTTACATAGCCATTATAGTTATAATAATTGTACATATCCCTAGTCCATCTTGACTCAGAATCTGACCCTCACAGCAGACCCTTGTTCCCACCTGTCTTCCCTTGTCCCTAAACCTTTGAAGCCTCCATTCCTGATGCACAGCAGGAAGGGGCCATGTAGCAGGAATGCTGTGGCTGGCCTCACTGCATACCGTCCAGCTGCCCCTGGGTGCTGGACTCCTTTGTTGACCCCAGATCTCTCAGGATGGCCCTTATGCTCTTCTCCCCCACCCCTGCCCCCCACTTGACCACAAGCCAGTGAAGCCAGCCCCGTCCAGGCCTGGGGTCTGTAAGTAACAGCTGGTCTTGCTGTCTCCAGAAGAGGTCAGCAGTTTTTTTCTTTCTGTTTTGCAGCAACAGGTCCATGGAGTCAGCCAACTTCATCCTCTATGAAGTTGGAGGAAATATCAGTAAGTTCCCCTGTGGGAAATGGGTCCAGAGCCAAGGTCCCTGGATGCTCCTTGATGTTGAAGGCTCACTAAGCCCCTTTGGGGGAGGTCAGAGTCCACCTCAGGATGAGTTTCCCTCAGGTCTCTGTCTCCCATGACACCAGTTGGAGCCCTGCCATGAGGCTCTAGATCAGCTGTGGCTGCCTTAGGAATCCAGCATGCACTGTGTAGTTTTCCTGGCACTGGCCTCTGGTTGTCATTGTCACTGGTGAAACCAATGCCTCTTGACTCCCTAGCGAAAGCAGATCTCTGCCCAGGCCCATAGCCATGAATTCTTTTTGGAGCTCTGAGAGGTCCTTGACTTTGTGGGAGCCAAGGCCAAGCAGCTGTTTTTAGTTATATTCTGTACAGCAGTGATCCTCAAACTTTAGTGATCCATCCAAATCACCAGGACAGCTGGGACAGCTGGGCCCAGAGAACGCACATTTCCAATAGCTGCTCCTGCTTGTGCCAGGCCACCCTCTGAGAGCCACTGGTCAAGAAGCGAAGCCAAGTCCTCATGACCTTGCCATGCATGGAAGGAGTTTGCAAAGCATGGAGGGAGTGCTCCTTGAGAAAATTCTTAGACAGGAAGTAGCTGAGGAGGATGGGAAGGAAAATGGGAGGAGCCAGAATGACCACTTCCTGAAGCCTGACTTGATGATCCACAAGGGGGCTCTGGATTACAGGTTGCATCAGAGTTGTTCCCTTGGAGCCTAGGAGGCTGGTCTTAGGCATTTTCCATGCAGGCAGTCACTTCTCTAGAGGTAGATGTGAGCCACAGGAGCCAAGGCTCACACAACGGGGAGGATGGCACACTACCTGCTCTCCTGGGGCTCTGGGTAGGACAGTGACATCTTCCATAGTTACCTCCTCCACCTACTTGGTCCCTTCTTCCCACAGGTGAGCATTGCCTGGACTCAGATACCTACCTCTTAGACCTGCATCGCGCCAACCCCCATGGTGAGTGGGTCATTAAACAGAGCCCCACCTGAGCCCTGGGACACAAGGAACCAGACCTAGGTGCCACAGCCCCTCTCCTACCAGCTCTGAGCCCTATACACTGGATGGGAACCAAGCTATTTAAGGAGAAGGGCTGCATCTTCGTCCACATCATCCTTCCTCTGAAATGTCTCTCAGATTCCAAAAAGGACTCAGGGCTGGGCGGTTTTCTCACTCCTGCCATCCTGCACGGAGCTTGCTGTGTGACCCCACCACTTGGACACCTGGATCTTCATGGGGAATTTGCTCACACCTGAGGAGAATAAAAACTGCAGCACCTCTCTCAAGAACAGTTGAGGCTTTTCAGAAAAAAACTGCTGTGGAGATGGCCCACAATGTGAAGTGGGAACAGCACTAAGACCTTGGGCAAAGCCCTTGACCTTTCTGAGAACTTGAACAATGGGAGCAAAGACTGTGGCCATGAACAGCCTTAGGAGAAACGGACGCATGAAAAACTTCCCTCACCTCTCAGGTTTTAAATGCTGGTTTGTACCATCTTGCCACTTTATAATATATTTAAATTGCTCAAATACCAAAAGCACAAGTTAAATGTCATTTTTACTTCAAGGTTTTTCTCCCCAGTCTGACACCAGAGGGTGTTGTCCATCCAGGGAATCAATGTGGAGCTCAGTGATGAGCTCACCTAGGTGCGCTTCTCCTGGGCTATGGTATGGGGCCCAGTCACACCTTGAACCTGCCACCCAGTGGAGCCAGGAAGTCTGTTCAGAGCAGGAAGGGACAGGATAATCACAACAGTTGCTGAAGGAGGGAGGGACAGCACTCTGGGATTGCCCCCACCTCTCTTGTCTCTAGTCCCAGCTCTGTCCTCGCTCTGTCTCCTCAGGGCAGGTGAGATCACATTCATTCATTTATTCCTTTAATAATGAATGTATTGAGTGAGCATTGAATACAAACTAAGAGCTTTACAAGTTCACCATAATCCAAGGTTTCCTTCTCCCTAGAAGCAGACCCCAAGGTAAAGATTCAAGTGCAAATAGTGATCCCAGGGTCCACCAAAGAGTAGGGGTATGAGAAAGAAGGGAAGGTCCCCATGAGAGGATGCAGTTATCAAACAAGTCACCATTGTGGGCAACTAAGGCTTAGTTCTACTGGGGAACTCTGGGAAACAACGTAGAAGCTATGCATCAGCGTTATTCCCACCCAAACGGCACAGGAGCCTGGGGACTTACTCAATTCCTGTGAGTCACTGGATGAGGACTGCTCCTGAGGAGGGGGTGCACTCATTCCCTGCATGCCCAGCCTGCCTGAGCAGAGTAGGCTCTTGTGGCCAGAGAAAGCCCTTGAGTAAAGAAATACAGATGAAAGGAGCAGTTGGCCACTGTACACCAACATGGAAAGTGCTGGAGGGATAGATATGGGTCAACTGATAGCACTTGCTTCCCCCTGTGACGTGGCAATGGTGATCGTCGTAAGGGCAGGGCTGCTGCTAATGGTGGTGGTGGTATGATGGTGATGGTGTTGCCAAGAGTCTTATAAATGTAATCTTCACATTCATCCAGTGCCTTCGTTTGGGTGATGACAGCAGCTAGCTCACTACGCAGACATTTAACGTACATTGTATATTAGCACCTTTAGTCCTCACCACAACCAGATGAAACACCATCGTCTTTCCCTTTTAACAAAGAGGAGAGCCAAGGCAAAGAAAATTAGCAGAACTTGTCCACGTGCCATAAGCAACAGGATCCGAGTTCAATACAGGATAGCAGGGGGTCAAATGGGAGCACCTAAAGATTTTAGATCAGACATCTGAACTATTTGGCTTTAAGTATCCAGATTTAAAGTTTGTGATGGTCACTTCCTCTGTCTCCCTCCCCCCTTCCCTTCGCACAATACCAATAGCCTCAGAACCAGAAAGAGCACATTTCTCCTCTACCGAGCGGCCCTCGTAGGGAGGGATTGGCATTCATCCTGGGATTCCTTGGTAGGGCATTTGAAGCTTGGAGCAGCTTAAGAGTCTGTACGAGCCTTGGTTTCCCTATCAGCCCTATCCAAAGAGCCAAGACTGGATGAAGCATGAGCTTAGCCCAGTACTAGCCCCACGATCCCATGAGGTGGCTGTAACCATGGTTCCACTTTACAGATGAGGAAACCGAGGCTCAGTGCAGTTAAACCATGGGTTCAAAGTCAACAGAGAGTGAGAAGCTTGGGAGTCCAATTCCAAGTTCAGTGCCCTTTCAGTTTCGACTGAAATTGTCTTCAGACAATTGTCCGAAGAGGAACCTAAACCTAGAAGACACTGCTGAGAGAAGACAGTCAAGAACAGAAGGAGAAAAACTGGACAGATAATCCAAGGGGAGGAGATCCCATGGGATTCACCTTGGGTTGCTGCTTCTGTTCTCCACTTCTACCCCTGCCCCCCACAATCTGTATATAGCCCCTGTTGGACCTCCCTCCAAAATACACCTCAGTTATGCCCGCCTTCACTGCTTTGCTCATACATCATCCTAGTCCGAGTCACCATTGTCCCATGTCTTTGATGATGGTGAGGATTATGCTGGTAGTAGTGACAATGATGGTGATGGTGGTGGTGGTGACAGCAATGATGATGGTGTCAGTGCTGCTGCTGGTGGTGACAGTGATGATGGTAGTGGCAGTGATGGTAACACTGATGATGATAGTGCCAGGTTGGACACCAAAACTATGAAAAGACAAAATTTCAACAAATTTAGCTCACAGACCTTACCTGGCATTTATTCTTGATTCTAGAATGGAGCAGTCCTCCAAGCCAGAACAGGTTCAAAGATCTCAGGAGCTGCAATGTGGTCAGACAACATTTATGGACAGCCTAAATGGCTACAATTTGGCATTTTGCCTTATTCGAATTAGCTGGCTATTGATGACTGATGGACTGTCAGCTGCTGTGACAGTCTAAGACTTAGACTCTGTCACAAAATTACATGCCTAAGTTAGGTTCTCAGTTAATTGCATATGAAGTTAAGTTAAGGACTGAAGCCCATCGGAAAAGGTATCATAGGCCTAAGTTCATTTAGTTTAGCAGTTAGCAATGGTGGCAGTGATGATGGTGGTGCTGCAAAGATTCCATGGCTCAGACGCCATTTCTTTGTTCTCCCTTCTGGCCCTCCTATCTGCAGTCCATACAGCAGCTACCAGGGGCCCTTTCAAATATAAAGCAAATCGTGCTGAAAGCCCTCCAACTGAAAACCTTCCAGAAGACTCCCACTACACTTAAAATAATATCCCTGTCCTCTCCCTGCCTCTGAGGCCATCTAAGGTCCCTGATGCCACTTCCTGTACTCCCAAGTTCATCCCTGCTTTGAGGCTTTTGCACCTGCCGTAGCAGAAGCTTAGAAAACTGCACCCACAGCCAACGCCTTTCATCTCTGGCTCACAAACTTTGTCCCAAAGGCCACCTATAACCACCCATTTGAAGTTCTCTCTCTCGTCCTCTTAAATTTTCTTCCTAGCATTTGACACTACATGAAATTTCCTTATTTAAGGAGTTTTATGGTCCTGATTAGGGTGTAACCCCATGAAGGCTACACCTTTGTGGGTATCACGGTACCGTAGACGCTCAGTACAAGTTGAGTGGGTGAGTGAGTGAGTGAACGTGTGAGTCCCTCTTGTCCTTTGTCTTTTTGCTCCAGAGACTGTTGCCCTCAGCACCTGTTCTAACTCTGACCTCCCTGTTTGATAGAGGTAAAGGGGAAACGCATCAGAAGTACCTACAGCAAGTGCTCAGTAGTGCTCTCTTCATTATTAATTGTTAACCAGAGCCAGCCAGCCTGAAATGGTGACTAACGACATTGTCCTGGTACCATTTCTAGCATCTGTGCCACTCCCATTATAAGTCAGTTTCCCTCCTTCCCAGGGCCAGGATGACAAGACACTGTGTGCTTGGAGTGGAAAGTCCCCTGATCTTGGCAGGAGGAGGGGCAGGTGCCCTGGAGGGTTCTGGAAGCCCCGGCTGGCTGTGCTAACTTTGCACTGAGAGTGGTCCCCCAGCCATCTTCAGAGAAACCCAGTTTAATCACATGTCAGTTTTCCCATCCATCTTCGGAGCAATCGGAAGGCTCATCTTTCTGCACCCTGTGGCATCCTGGTGATTGATGATCTGGAAGCCGCCCTACTACTGGGTTAGCACAGCTCACAGCAGGTGCCCACTTTTCTGGGCCTTTTGCAGGCTCAGCTGGCCTGGGGTGGGACGTTTCTTTTAGTAGCCTTGTTAGGAAGGCAGACAGAGAGGAGAGGGATGCAGGGAACATGGAAGAAGGTTCAGAGTGGTCAGAGAAATTTTAGATTGGCTGCCTTTCAAAGCAGGACTGCACCAAGCACTAGAAAACGAGTAGCTTATTTGGGAGGTGGTCCCAAGAAGACCCAGACAAGGAGTGAAGAAGTGAGAATGGAAAGGAGAAGAGCCAGGGAAGGGGAAGCTGATGAGATTAGGGCTGTGGGCTCCTGGGGCTCAATCCTGCTGCGATAATCGGCTTCCCACACATGCCCACTGAGGAGTAAGGATAATAGAGTGCCTCCCTCAGTACCAGTTAAGGGCTGCTCCCAGGGGTGTTAACTACTGGGCACTTCCAGCCTGGTTCCTGTGCAGGCATGCTGAGCACTCCTGTGACAGAGAAGACCTTTGGCAGAATGTCCCAGGTGCTGGCAATAAAAAGTCCACTGTCATGGACTTGAACAGTGTGTGCCCAAGGGACATGGGTGGGACAGATGTGTCCTCACTGAGGGAGTGGCATCTAAACTGACACCAAAATGATGTGAAGGGGCCAGCCATGGGGAAAGCTGGCAGCAGAGATGAAAGGTGCAGAAAACCAGAACGAGCTGTTGCACGATCACACGAAGATCCCAGAGGTTGTCTGGGGGGCCCAGGCTGAGTGATGGCTCAGGCCCCTGCTGGAGCTTTCCTATCCTATCTTTCCACACCACTTCCAGCCAGAATCTTCCCTTTGCACGCACCTTCAATGGAGTCCGTGATTGGCTGGCCAGGATGGGAGTGGGGCCT